CATTGCTCAGGAGTTGTTTAGAGTTTTCCCTCACTAGGTACTTCATCATGTCATTCAGCCACGATTTTGCTGATGACTCCATTCCTCAATGATCAACTGCCTTCAGACTTCACACCTCTGTGCTTATTGACTCCATTCCTCCCCCACTGCAATGGATGAGTCATGAAATTTCACCCTCCAAGTCTGTCAATGGAACAATGAGAATAATCCTTCTGATTGCATTAATAAAATACATTGGTGGTCATTTTAATCCTGCAAAACTCTGGGAGGTGGTTATATAAGATTTAAATGGTATGAATACCCTTACAGGAGAAGTGGGTCATTGATTCCATTATTCAGGTTGGGATATACTAATGAGATTATCACTATGATTTGAGATTAGTGCATTCTGCAGAGATTTCTTGGCCAGGAAATTTTCCATTAAAATGCAGTAATATTGAGCAGCAATTCTTGGGGTGAGTCAAATATAAGTAGCCTCAAGTGTCCCAGTGCTTCGGGTTTTTCAGTTTACTCTGGGAGATAGTTGTTGTCAGAGATTTATTTGTACAACTGAGAAGTTGTTACACACAGAACATCTTGATGGGTTGACCCATTGCTGCCTTGGTTAGATCTTTGGATAAGGAAGCCAATCAGCGCTGGCAGCTGGAAATGCCTAAAGTGGTGGGATCTACAGTTAGACGGTAGAGGGGATAGTCAGCAGAGTGGGGAGTAACAGATACATTAAGATGTCGGAGGCATTACCCAGATAATAGGGTGTTCACAGTCCTGACATTTGCTTTGTAAATGGCAGAAAGAATTTGAGAAGCAGGAAGGTGAGTCACGTGCTGCAGAATACAGACTCTGGGACTGTACTCATTGGAGTTTAGAAGGATGAGGGGGGATCTAATTGAAGCTTACAGAATACTGAATGGCGTGGACAGAGCGGATGTTAGGAAGATGCTTCCATTGGTAGGAGAGACTAGGACCCGAGGGCACAGCCTTGGAGTAAAGGGAAGATCTTTTAGAATGGAGATAAGGAGAAACTTCTTCAGCCAGAGAGTGGTGAATCTATGGAATTCACTGCCGCAGAAGGCTGTGGGGCCAGGTCATTGAGTACATTTAAGCCTGAGATAGATAGGTTCTTGATTATCAAGGGGATCAAGGGTTACAGGGAGAAAGTGGGAGAATGGAGTTGAGAAACTTATCAACCACGATTGAATGGTGGAGCAGACTCGATGGGCCGAATGGCCTAATTTCTGCTCCTATGTCTTATGGTCTAATATCCAGCACTTGGGCCTACAGTATTTATGGGATTGGTCCAGTTAAGTCTCAATAGTGACCTTACCCCACCTTATTTCCCCCACCCCCTTACACTCCATTAGTAAGTTCTGGGAATGGTTAAAAGGTGTAGAGGTAACACCGACAGTTTGTGTGTAAATATTGCTACATTTGAGGGGTTATTTTCAGATATGTAAACAATTCCACCATAATGTGGCCATGACTCAAGTTTAAAAGATTATTCTGTACTTGAGATAGCCAGAGAGGATAGAGTTGATGCAAATGGTACAAGTTTGGCTTTGCCGAGCTGTGCATCTTGGTGCAGTTGAGGTTTCATTTTCAGATAAATGAATGATATTATAATGTGGCCGTGATTTATATTTTAAAAAGGAAGTTACTGTTCTGGGAATATCTGAAGAACATAGAGTCCGTAGTACAACCTTGGCTTGGCCATGTTGTGCATCTTGATACAGTTGAGATTTTCCCATAATAATAAATGATACCACTATAACGTGGTCAAGGTAAATATCTTATAAAGGAAGTAACTGTGATGGGAATGGTTGAAGAAGTGGATAGAGTTAGCACTGTAACCCAATCTTGGCCATGCTGTGCAGTTAAGGGTTCAGCCTGCACACACCGTTCCCCCCCGCCTTTCCGTCGCACCCATGATGCAGCGCGGGCCTTTCCCGCGAAAACGGTTCAAGGAGAGCGAGCGGCAAAAAAAACCCTGGCGGGCGCCGCTGCAACCGAACCTGCTGGCGGGAAGCCGGCTCTGAGTGGCGTCGCCATTCGCCAATGGGGATCGGGAGGCTGCCCCGTCCGGCGGGGCGGATGGCCAATGATGAGAGAGAATGATCAGGGAGGTGGGAAGATGGGGGGGACGTCGGGTTCTTGGGGGGGGGGGGGAGAAGGGGGTAGGGAAAGCCGCCCAGGTTTGGTTGAGGCCGGCGGTATAAAGTCATCGGGTGGAAAATTTTCTGGTTTTTCCTTCCCCCCACCCCCCCCTTCATTCCATCGTCCTCCTCCACCGGCCGACACCCCCTGCCCTTCCCCCTGTCTCTCTGAGGGAATTACCCCCTCCTTCCCTTCGAGCTGCTGACTCCGCCATGGCTCCTCACAAACACGGAGGGGGGAAAAATGCCGTAAGGAAGCCCAAGATTGACCAAATCCAGGCCGACCACGAGCTTTTCTTGCAGGCCTTCGAGAGTAAGTGGTGGTTTATATAGATGTATATATAGATAAATCCAAAACGATAGAAACCCTTTTGTACAAAACCTTCAAAATGAACATCCCCTTCTGAAATTATTAAATTCTCCCCTTTTTTCCTTCCCAGCGTTTCCACTATAATCGGGTTTATTTACCCGGCTCCTGTCACTCTTCCCCTTCCACCTCCCGGCTTCTGTCACTCTCCCTCCCCGGGAGCCGGCTCCGTCTGGCGGTAAACACCGAGGATTCGGCTCCACACTAGGCCGCGTTACCGGGAAAATAACGTGTTCCCCGGCTCAGCTCTCCACGCAGAGAGCCTGAGAGAGCATTCCCGCCGATTCCAGTTTCTCTTTCTCCCCCCCCCCCACCTCAACCTTGCTGGAGGGGTTGGTGGTGGGGCGGGGGCTGCGGCCTGGATTGCTCCGAATCCCAGCTCCTTTCAAACAAAAATGCAATCTTTAAGGTTTGAGCAAAGAAAGGTGCCAGGGTTGCGCGCCTCTGAGCTTGAATGGATCATCTCCGTTCGCGATTCTCGTGTTAGAAATCCAACCTGTAAGATTCGGGGCTGGTGTGGGGAATGGGGCTGTTGGTAACAACTCAAAATAAAGCCATAACCCCCTCCTCTGTTTTGGTTTGCAGCGCTTCCAAAATGCGCTCTTTTACCGTTAAAAGAACCCACCCATGTTTTAACTTCGGAAGTTAACTAGAAGATCCTTGGTTTGTATTTCGCGAATGTTTCCAGGAGAAGGGTGGGAGGTGAAAAACTGGTTAAGATTGTGACACAAATTCGTTCCCTTTCTTTTTCTCAGAGCCAACTCAAATTTACAGATTTCTCCGAACCAGAAACCTCATAGCAGTAAGTTTTTGAGCTAAATTGGATATAGACTCATTTGTCGGAGATCGTGGTATTTGGGAAAAGGGCGTTATGCTATCTAATGTACTCATATATGCTATCTAATGTACTCATATATGCTAACATACTAATATAGTCACCGTTGATACCCGTTTTTCGTTACTTTTAAACCATCCGTCTCG